ACACAAACCACCTGCAACTCAACACCTCAAAGACTAAGGAACTGGTTGGGGTCCAGAGAAGGTCCACTGCCGGTTCAGATAGAGGGGGAGGAGGTGGAGGTGGTCAACAAGTACAAGTACCTTGGGCTGTGGGTGGACAATAAACTGGACTGGTCATGCAACACAGAGCACCTGTATAAAAAAGCCCAAAGCTGACTGTACTTCCTCAGGAGGCTGAGGTCTTTTAACATCTGCAGGAAGCTCCTGAGGATGTTTTACCAGTCAGTGGTTGCTGGAGTACTTTTCTATGCTGTGGTGTGTGGGGGAGCAGCACAGCAAAGAAGGACTCATCCAGGCTGGAAAACTGATCAGGAGGCTGCTCTGTGGTCGGCATGAAGCTGGACACTCTGGTGACAGTGGCAGAGAAAAGGACATAAAGAAACTGCTGGACATTATGGACAATGCTGGGCATCCTCTGCACACGGCCATAAACAACCAGAAGAGTCTGTTCAGTGACAGGTTGTTTCTCCCAAAGACAAGAACTAACAGACTTAAAAACTCCTTTGTCCCACACGCCATCAGACTGTTTAACTCCTCTCTGGAGGGGAGAGGGAGGGGAAACAGGAGGACAAAGGAGGGGGGAACAACTAAGCTGTAGTGCCTCTTCAACTCACTGTGCAATACCTTTTGTGCAATACTTTTGTTAATAGTCAACGGTGCAATAGACTTCCATACTTGAAATGTGCAATTTCACTTGTATTTTTATTTTTATTTTTATTCCTATTTATTCTATTTATCCCCTTTGTATATTTTATTTATATATGTCTCTGTATTTATATATGTGTGTATATATATATATAATATTCTGTAACTCTGTAACTTCTGTCGGTGCTGTGCTTTTTTGGAAACCGAATTTCCCAGAGGAACCCACCCGAGGGATTAATAAAGTTTTATCTTATCTTATCTTACTTCAATCGTGTTCTTGCTACTGAAAATACTGTTTTGACCAGGGGCGTGCGAGAGGCCTGACATGTGATGCCCACTCAGAGGCTAAGAATTTACCTGAAAGCTATCTGGGCTTACTGTCACATGGCTATAAATCATGTGGACTTTGTATTTGGAGCATTCCAGGTACAAGTTTTGGGCTGCAGTTCATATGTAAACACACTTATACAGTACTGTAACTACGAAGGTAACACTATAAGGTTCAAAGTGCTGTAAGATTTTTAAACAAAAATTCAAAACTGAATATTTGGTGTGATTTAATTTACCTTTAACATAACAACACTAACTATAGATAAAACTTTGCACAGTTTATAATGTAAGTTGTTTAAAGCATCTTTTAAAAACTTGCCACATTTGTAGATGCTGAAATATCACTGCAGATACTTAGCATGCTTGTAAACCATCAAAGTTGTGTTAACAGCATAATGCATTTCTTTCAGTTCTGGGTGCAGTTTTCACTTTACCATCAAGCTCTCGTACTTTTGTGCAATAAAAATAAAAAATTATGTTCATATAGGTGGTGTAGACTGCAACACCTTTTTCCTCCTCTGGCACACGAACTAAAATCAGCTAATTGTAGAGCAAGTGCAAGTGGAACCGATAAACGAGATCGATAGGCAAGCAGACCAACAATTCCAAAGGAACTGAACTGGTTCTTTACAAGAACCAGTACTCATTCCCCATTCCTACCAGCATGGTGGTGGAGAGATGATGATTTGAGTTTGTTTTGCAGCTACACGACTTTTCAGTCATTGACTCAAAATCCACACAATGATGTGACAGCCTCATAAAGTTATACAGAAAATGATTACCTCAAGTTATTGGAGGTAAGGGGAGTTCTATAAGCTACTGAATCATGGAGCGTACCTAAGGTTTCCATACACTGCTTCTGCATTGTGGCTTAGTTTTTTACAGAAATGGTGTCACAGTAAAATATGGTATGTTTTGTAGTTCATTCACCGAAGAACCAGATGACTTTCATTATGTCCTGATATGTAAAATCTTAGAAATGAAAGAGGGTGTACTTTCTTTTTACCATGACTATAAATATCTAAAGAGGCTTAAACCTTTGTGCAGCACTGTGCCTCCACAGGACATCACTTAGACAGTAAAATGCTTCACAGTGGTAAGGCACAGGGGTTGGAAAGTTACCCTGAACTGCTGAAGGCTCTGGTTATTGTTGGGTTGTCATGGTTTCTTTGATGGTGCAGTGCTTTACAGTTTAAAAAGTGAACTGGAGGGAGTGCTCGATTATGTCACACTGTTCAGCCTTTCTACAAGCACATGAATGCTGGAGTGGAGGCTCCAACTGATTATCAAACTAGAGACACATTTTCTTTCTTTCTTTCTGTTTTTTCTGTTTCCTTACCACCACAAGATTTTCACTTTTAAGTCGTGTGCTACTTTTTTTCAACACGCTAGTTCTATAATTTACTTTTTTTTCTTGAATTACTATATTTTGAATTCTGTTCTTGTATTCTAATTAGATTAGATTAGATAGAACTTTATTAATCCCTCGGGTGGGTTCCTCTGGGAAATTCGATTTCCAAAAAAGCACAGCACCGACAGAAGTTACAGAGTTACAGAATATTATATATATATATATATATATATATATATATATATATATACACACACACACACACACACACACACACACACACACACACATATATATATATACAGAGACAATATAAATAAAATATACGAAGGGGATAAATAGAATAAATAGGAATAAAAATAAAAATACAAGTGAATTGCACATTTCAAGTATTGAGTCTATTGCACCGTTGACTATTTACAAAAGTATTGCACAAAAGGTATTGCACAGTGAGGTGAAGAGGCACTACAGCTTAGTTGTTCCCCCCTCCTTTGTCCTCCTGTTTCCCCTCCCTCTCCCCTCCAGGGAGGAGTTAAACAGTCTGATGGCGTGTGGGACAAAGGAGTTTTTAAGTCTGTTAGTTCTTGTCTTTGGGAGAAGCAACCTGTCACTGAACAGACTCTTCTGGTTGTTAATGGCCGTGTGCAGAGGATGTCTGGCATTGTCCATAATGTCCATCAGTTTCTTTAATGTCCTTTTCTCTGCCACTGTCACCAGAGTGTCCAGCTTCATGCTGACCACAGAGCTAGCCCTCCTGATCAGTTTCTCCAGCCTGGATGAGTCCTTCTTTGCTGTGCTGCTCCCCCAGCACACCACAGCATAGAAAAGTACTCCAGCAACCACTGACTGGTAAAACATCCTCAGGAGCTTCCTGCAGATGTTAAAAGACCTCAGCCTCCTGAGGAAGTACAGTCGGCTTTGGGCTTTTTTATACAGGTGCTCTGTGTTGCATGACCAGTCCAGTTTATTGTCCACCCACAGCCCGAGGTACTTGTGCTTGTTGACCACCTCCACCTCCTCCCCCTCTATCTGAACCGGCAGTGGACCTGCTCTAGACCTCCCGAAGTCCACAACCAGTTCCTTAGTCTTTGAGGTGTTGAGTTGCAGGTGGTTTGTGTGACTCCATGCGACAAAGTTCCTCACCAGACTTCTGTACTCCTCTTCCTGATCATCCCAGATACACCCCATGATGGCTGTGTCGTCTGCAAACTTCTGAATGTGGAATAATTCAGAGTTGTAGCAGAAGTCAGAGGTGTACAGGGTGAAGAGAAGAGGGGACAGCACAGTTCCCTGTGGTGCTCCTGTGCTGCTGACCACTGTGTCAGACGTGATGTCCTTCAGCCTGACGTACTGTGGTCTGTCGGTGAGGTAGTCGGAGATCCAAGCCACCAGGCAGGGGTCCACCTCCATCCTGTTCAGTTTTTCTTGAAGCATACAGGGCCGGATGGTATTAAAGGCACTGGAAAAGTCAAGAAACAGGATCCTGACTGTGCCTTTTCCCCCATCCAGGTGTGAGTGGGCTCTGTGTAGGAGGTATTTTGTTTTTTCTACCAACAAAATAAAGTTTCTATACATCCCACGGAAGTACTTTTGATGCTATTGTATATAAATATAATGTGATTTAACAAATAACACATGCATTTTAAGTTATTACCATAATTTTGATTTAGAAAATAGCATATCATTCACATTAAAAAAATAATTACATTCATACCTTTATCATTCATTGAGATGCATAACATTTGCATCAGGCAATGTTAACAACCTCTTTAGGGACAGACAAGTGAAACCTGTGTAATTTAAACTTCTTGCATCTTCAGCCTGCTGTTCCTTTGACATTCAGAAAAAGGGTGTGAATGCATTTTTTTAAAAACTGCTCTAAATTAAATAAATTCCGCTGTAAGAAAAATATGCTGTGGATCCTATCGAAATGGTGTGTGTGTGTGTGTGTGTGGGGGGGGGGGGGGGGGGAACAGGCAGTGCATGCAATAAAAGCCTCAAGCATCTTCCAACTGAAGGAATTTTACGCTGAGGAATGGTCAAATATTTCAGCAAGCTGATGTCAGAGACTGATGTACTATTATGCAAAACGCCTACAAGAAGTTATTTCTGCTAAAGGGAGCCAGATAAGCTTCTGAGGCTAAAGGTGTACTTACTTTCCCCACGGAAGCATGTAACATCTGTTAATATTTTTATTGATTAAATGATTGAAAAAGGTAATGTTCCTCCTTTACCTGACAGCAGTGTTTCACTTAGAAACAAAAGCTAGCAATTTCCAAGGGATGTTTTCAAGATATCCACACGTGGGAAAATTGGTCCCCTTGATTTTGGACTCTCTTAAAATTGATGGTAGCGATATCACTGTACAACTGTACAGTGTGTAGAATCAAGAAATGTCCCTGTGCTGGTAAGATGTCAGAATAGATGTCTGTTATTCTGAATAGGGCATAAGTCAAGCACGCCACATATGTTACTGCAGATTATGTATATAATTATTACGAGCATTATCATATTATTATTTGGTTCTTCCCCTGCCTGAGCATCAGTCTTAATCACATTATAACAACACTTGTGCTGTTCATGAAATGTAGTCAGTGGTGGAGGATGGGTGGGTGACTGAGCAGGTGGGTCTTGCCTTCTTTCCATTCCCCGTGGTACTCCTCGCCGTTGGAGTAAGTAAAGGATCCTCGTGTCAGGGTCATGGGTCCTGCTGCCACACATGACACAAGGAAACATTATCAGGAGCTTTGCAACTGTAGTTTTGGCATTCTGATACACACTGAGTTGGGAGTTTATTAAATAATACTACCACCTCTCAGTCTACCATGGGTTAATTGCTAGCATTTGAATACTGCAGCCAGCCTGCAGGGTAATCAAACTCAGATTATGCAGGCAGGAAAACTACACATGCACAACTGCCCCCACTATTAGAAACCTGCTCAATGCTCAATCACTGCTGGCTAAAAATCTGTGGAAACCTTAACTTTACACTCTTATGTAAATAATGAACATCTGATTTCAACCCCCCCCCCTCCCGTATTAATCTGCTACCATAAGAGCCTTTGTTATTCTGGCATCATGTTTTCCATCAGACTTTGGAATTTGATTACAGGATTTACAGAAGTTAATTAGTTTTACTAAAATCTCACATTCTTTGAATGTCACGTATATCTCATATAGTTTCTAAAGTTGAGGCTGGGGTAAACCAGACCATCTTTTCTACACCATGTTTCTCTTTTTGGGACACACAGCTGTTTGAAAGCAGACAGTTTCTGCATGTTTTTCTTCAATCTATAACAACAAAAAATCTTTATTGCACTTACCTGCCTTAAGGTTTTATAAGAAACAATGGTTGCAACTGGTTTCACAAGATCATACATGCCACAAGTGTTTTTCTCTCTATACATTCTAAATACTTGGGGGTCAGGTGGTCACCATGTGGAAAGAGGTGTCCACTGTCTTCATCTCAAACAACTTGGTACAGGATGTTTCCTTAAATATGAGATTTCCATGCGAGATGACAAAAGTGTTATTTTTGCTAAACATGTTTGATACATTAACTCACACTGCACATTTTGTGGCTTCTCTGCTTACACTGTGTGGGTTAACTGATGGTTACCGCTTAGAGATCTAAAGTAAATGTAAGTTCCGAAATCCTGAACAAGACTATAGTTGTACAATAGGCTAATTTGCTGTTAAAAGTGACCGGTTATATCAGCTGTTATACTCTGTTACCTGTTATATACCTGTTATATTTTTGGATTTCTTTGCTGTGATAAGAGGTATTATTTGTCTACTGGTAGTGTTTAATGTAGCTATATTATTATAACTCTAATTTTACTCAAACACTACTACACGGCTGTGTTTATTGTGGTTCTCAGTGGCATGCTATTTTCTTTTTGCTGCTTCAAAATGAGTATGTAGACAAACGGCCGCTGAAAGGAGCATCAAAGAAACATTTGGGCGACTCCATAAAAGAGAAAACACCCAAGGTCCGTTTATTAAGCAAAACAGGCTAATTGTTCAATGCCAACAGGCAGCTGTCAGCAGGCGGGAGGAGGTGTGCGTATCCCTCCATCTAATGTTGCCACAGTAACGGCGCCCTAATCCCTTTCATCCTGCCGGCATGACGCTGTCAGCCTCCAAAACACACACGCATTCACACGGGGAGCGGGCCTGGAGACAAAAAAAATAAAATTTTTACCTGTTTTATTTAAGAGTAGCTCAGCCTCTTTTCTCTACATCGCTGAAAACAAGAGAGCAGTAGGAGGATAGCGACTATTTAGCCTTTTTTTCGTAGCTGTTTGTTTCCTGGTAGAGCTGCCTCAGCGTCGCTCTAAAGCACCGCTATACGATTGGCTACCTTTGTGTCACCTCGACTCAACGTGTCCTTTTATTGGTTGCTCTTCTGCTCCGGCCAGCCCTCAGCAGGAGACATCTTTGTCGAGGGCAACGGGTTCAACGACTTAATTAGCCGGAGTGCTGCTCCGTTAAAGCATTTGCCCTTGTCGGTTTTTTATGTGCTGCCCGGCGTCTCTGTAGGATTATAAAACGGCAGCGGGGTTCTCCTTAATGATACCCTGTCATTTCATGTTTCAATTTGGTTATTAGACCCGCGTTTTGGCAAGTTTTATGGGACTTGATTTATTGTTTTCTTTATGCCTTAAAACAGCTGCGCTAGGTGACGAGGGTTTGCTAAATGAGGTGATGTAGATTCAAAGCTAATAATAAGAAGAAAAGAAAAACAATCAAGGTGACCCAAATGAAGCAAAACTCCGCTAACCTCATTTTCGATTCCCTGAGGGGAAACCGGGGCTAGGATTAACCCGCTATTGAATATTAATTAGTCATGGCCAACAATGAAGCACGTGTGATTAGAAACTGATTATCATTTATCAATATTAGCCTAATAGAATAAAGAATACAATTATCAAGCCTTCAAACTCTAGACAAATAATGTAGAGCCAAACATGTGTTTTGGGTATATGAAGCTGTTATGGCTATAGAAGGGAAATGGAAGAGCCCAATTTATATTCTGCACAAAGTGTGAGATGAAATTTGTTCTGAAATTTTGGTCAATTTCTGCACAATTTAGACAAGTTAGAGAGACAGGGCAATAGACTTGCCTTAATCTCAGAAGCATGAAGTACACAGTGCCTGTTAAGATACAGACTAATTCAAACTGTGCATAAACAAGGTGCACACGTATATCTTATTTGCATTAATAGGATACCGTGTATTTAATGTAGTAAACCTGACTGTGAATTTTTTTAATTCCCTTCACTGACCACTTACTGGTTTTCTGACATTATAAATTAATACATTACATTCTTTTTTTCTTCAGAGTGACACAAAAAGTGGTGGACAAGATTTTTGAATCTTCTGCTATTTCTATCAGCTTTTGTTTTGGAGATGAAGACAGGCGTTAAGTGTCTAAGTTAGAGAAATAAATGATGTGAGTGAAAAATGAATGCATTTGTCATAAGGACAACAAGATAGAAAGCGTAATGAGCCTGTGGAAAATTACATAAATGCTTGAATCAAATTGTGCCTTGAAAAAAAAGATCATATTAACTTTGGATCATTGACTCAGCTCTTACAAATTCAGCAAGAAAGACTGAGCATGGCCAAGTGTTTGGCAGTATGTGTATGGTTTGTATTTTGTGTGTTTTTTTCCCCTGTCATACAGCATCGGTCCAAAATGCAGCTAACAAAGCGATATTTTGACTCATTTTTGCCTCTGAGCTCGGGTGTTTTGGTGGGAAATAAGCTTTCATTTAAATGAGATTAGTCAGATTTTCAAAATAGTACTGATATCAACATTTTAATACATGTAACTTTCTAATATCCCACAGTTCTTTGCATAATTTACTGCAGTCTGGTAGTTGTCAATTAATTAATTAATTAATATTTATATCTTGAAACAATTATGATACATTTTTTGGGGCCCAGGGAACTTTTAGACTCATTAGTAGATCTGAAGTCTTTGCTCCATCTTACAGAGAACATGAAAAATGCGCTCAAGTTGCAGTAGATGGGTAGGAATAGGCTAATGGTTGAGCCTTTATTAATTTAAGACCACTTAGTAGACTAACAAAAGGCAATACTATCCTTTAAAAGAGAAGTTATAGTAATGAATTTATTAGCTGTATCCTATGAACGTTTAATGTGTAACCTCAATGTTTGACTTGGCGCTGGATGGCCTGAAAGTTCCTTACAGGCACCTTACGGTCTCGTCCCACCAATGCGCTTATAGATGCCTTCAAAAAATAATACTGTATAAGTTTGTTTTTTCCTAAATAACTTCTCTTCTTACCCGTGATAACCCCGTTCCCCGTGTACCGGGGCAGCTGTACGTGTCTCACATCTGTTGATTGAAACAATGCGCATTTTGAAACCCTTTGACACACGTCGCTGTAAGCTATGGCAAATTTGGAGCGCAGGCGCCATGTGCTATGGGCTACTCCACACATTTCATTAAACGGCCAGTGCCAGCAGCACACCCTCGCGCAGAGAGATGCTGGGAGGGATGGGAGGGGGCGCTTTTGGTGGGTGGGACATATGAGCGCTATAGAAAGGGGGATGCTGCAGCCCCGTCCCCCTCATATCGCTCTCCACCCAGCCCTAGAATAAAAACCACCGGTGACGTGCGCGCAGGGAAGCACCCAGCAGTATGTGCGCGCCCACGGGAGGGGCCGATAGAAAATGGCGAGTCTGTGCAAAAGGCAGCAATGCACGATAGAGAGGCGCGGCTTTCGGCAGGAACTTGACTCTTGGAGGCACAAACTCATTCACTGTGTAGGTAAGCTCGCTTGGCATTGTGTGTGTGCGTGTGTGTGCCGCGGTCCGGACGCCCGGCGGGTGCCGGGAACTGTATGTTTTCGTTTTGGCTGAAGTGTGAGGAGCAAAGTGCCGGGTATGTAGGGCCTAATGTCCACTAGTAAGCCTATAGGGTCTCCATGAAGCTGTCATTTTTTTCTTTGCGCACGGCTGTTGCCTGGCGCTGCCCGCCTCCCACCGGACATATCCAAAAACGATTCAGCTCCAACTTTGAGCCGTGTTGTGGGGCCCTCTGTTCCACCTGCAAACTTGTGTGTGCGGATACTTTGCCTGTTATGAGTCTCTTTAACCGGGCTGTGAGCGCTCCGGGGCCATTTGGAGTCGTTTGAAGTATTATTCTATAGCTGTTTATTTATTGTAAGCAGAAGAAGTCACGTGCGCAGATGGAGCTGCTCTTCGGCCAATCGGCTGCCCCGCTATAGGTTGGCCCGTGCCCGAGTGCGCGGCGCCGGATGAGCTTTTTAATAGGGGAGGGTGGCGCGCGCCCTCAGCCTTCAAACATGACACCCCCCACCCCCACCCCCTCAACTGCCCTGGAAATCGGCTTTTGGGAGCGCGCTTTGCTGCATTGAGGGAAATGTCAGTGGGCATAATTTTGTTTTTAGGGGGGAGGAAATCTATAGGCGCGGGGGGGGGGGGGGGGGGTCGACAGGGACAAACGCCTTAGTGTCCGCCTGTAAATCGGGTTTGAGACTTGTTGAAACGGCGCTCCTGGATGTGGTGGTGGTGGAGAAAGCTCTGTGCTTCAGGGTCGCTGTTTACATTAATAGTTACATTAACATTTTTTTAAATCGTATGATCGCATGTTGTCGCTCCTGCTGGGACAGCGCAAAATTTAGATCTTATCTTATTGAAGAGCCGATAAAAATCAGTTTGAACCTATTCCCTTCTTTGACTTCGTTTCTTCTTTTATTTTGGATTTCATCGTCTATACATCTCTCCCACCCACCATCCCCTCTCCTGCCCCAGTCGTCCATTTGTGGTGTATTTCATTAGCTCCGTTTAATCCGGTTACATCAACCTTTCCCGATGTTACGGCAAGATTATCATCCCCCTCTTCGCCTCTGATCTTCTAACCTCCGCGGGTTTCCTCGAGTCTCTCTGGTTCCCAATCCGGCTTTTATTGGCGATTTATTAAAAAAAAAGAAGAAGAAGAAGAATAAGCATCACGCACAGCGGCAGCGGAGGAGTCGGGGTGTTGCTGCTCCAGTTGTTTTTGGATGCGTTTCGGTGTCCAGATGTTGAGCGTTGACCTGTCACCTACTTACCCGTTCGAGCGCTTTTTAATAGCCTGGCCTGATTCCGAGCAGGCTCTTGGTGCCTTTTAGTGAGAAAAGGTCAAACCGAAGGAGTGCAGCTAGCGGTAAATTAAAAGGCTGGCTAATCTCTGACCTTCAGCTGATGTGTTCGGCGTAAAGCCATAAAGTATCACAGTAAACAGCAGGAAAGAAAAAGCAGAAACAAGACTTGGTTTGCTTTCCATTTGAACTTGGATTTCTCACTGACTTCATGTGTAGCTTTTACTCACAAACTGACTTTCAAAGTTCACACAGTAGGACTGGATTTTATTTATTTGGTTTTGGTGGCCCTTTTACTTTGTATAATGTATAACATTACTGGTTCTGTGGGTTTGGGGATGGTTTTGTCCCCACCCCACTAAGTGTAACACAGTTTGGGGGGGGGGGGGGGGGGGGGGTGCTTGCAGTTACTTATAATGAAAAGATTTGTGTAACCTATAAAAAACTGGAAAAAAGGCAGTGCAGATAATTCAGTAAGGATTATATAAGGCGCTGTAGGAATTCTGTAATGATACTACATTTGATAGGGATACCTTAAGTATGATAAACACCCTGCAAGCTCCTGTGCATCTAGAATCTGTGTAGTAATATCACAGTGATACCACAGGGGACACAGATACCACAAAGCTCAATAATGAACTCACAGCTGGATATTACAGCATGCTTTAGCTCTGTATGGGGTGCTGTATGTGTGTGTATGTAAGTTCCATATTTCTTCATTTCTGCTTGTTGACATTCACTGGTTTGCAGTGCGTGGTGAGTCGTAGGGCTGGGCCAAGAGGCAGCAGCGGCTTCTCAGCGCTCACATTGAAATCTGCCATGTTCTTATCCATTTTTGAACTATGGGAGGCTGAGAATTAGTTTCAGAAAAATGTGTAAAAGAAAAAAATTAAATCGGGCTACTTTAAATTTATAGCTCATTAACATTTGGGAGTTGGCACTGTTATTATATTGTGTTTGGATATTAAAATGTTACAGAAAGTGTGAGGTTTTCACACTTTCTGTTTGTCTTAGCAACAGTAAAACTGAAAGGTGCCAAACACTAAATGAAAAGCAGTGACTTTAGTGACTTACGGCAGGGTTTTCCAGCACAGAGGAATGTGCTGCTAGAAAAAGAAGAAAAAAAATCAGTAGTGTTGTAATAAAAATCGTTAAACTTGAGTTTCATGTACCCAAGCGTAATCATCAGAAACAACAAGACAAATGCCCAGATTCATAATGTAACACACACTCACTGACTTTACTGTACAACGAACTGCCATGCTTATTGTCATTAAGCCTCTAAGGTGTCATTCTGAACCTGAAAATAAAATCCCAGCTTAAAGGAAACTCAGAACTCTCAACTTGACACCTGAGAAGCCTCCAGGCGTCAGCCTTGTTATAAGGAACGTTTGCCGGCCTGAGAATTTGTACCTTTACGAGGCAGCCTTATTATTAACATATTGTTAACGGTGGCGGGGACATTTGGTTGAAGAGGGTCAGCCAAGAAAGATGGACACCTTACAGTTTATTACATTGCACTGCGACGTGCATGGATGCAACTTGTCGACACAACGAGCCTCATCTTTTTACCCTGTGCTGCACTGATAATAAATTAGGGCCTATATGCCACAGAAAGGTTAACATTATGAGTTGGGAGCAAATATAGCCCAACTGCTGATTCCTTTGACACATATTCTGGGGAAGGGAGTGTAGCTAATTTGATTGCTGAAAGGTTGTGCCAGTGCTGGAGAGAGACAGACTGTGTCGGAGATAGAGAGAGAGGTGTGAGTGTGAGTGGCAGATTGCTTTTTCCCCCCTTAAATCTTCCAACATTTCTAAGCGCGGTACTGATGGCAGCAGAGCAGTTAGTCAGCATAGTTGGTAGTGGTGTACCGATTGTGTCGTTCTGAGCCATTACTGAGGTTCCAAATAACAATTTGGCCAGCACTATTTTTTTGTGGTCATTTTTGATGTAATGTTTTTTCTATATCCTCCTTTCTAATCTACCGATATTGATAATTGATTGCTTTCTTAATTGCTCATACTGATATCAGTCATCAGGGCCAATATTTGTGCATCACTAATATCTAGTTTTTAAACAGTGGCCATTAAAGTAAAAAAAGAATGAGTGATTTCAGACAGGCTTACAACAGGCTTACAGATATACTGTATAAGGAGCACACTTCAGTGAGAGAGTTTGCCTCCTAATATGAACTTTATCAATGCAAAATGTAAGAAAAACTCAAAAAGAGTAAGAGACAACCCAAGGGTGATGTCTGAGTAACCTTTATTTAACCAAGTAAAACCCAATCAAGAGAGGATTGCAGTATAAAACACAAGGCAATCCAAAAGAAACAAGACCAAAAATATTGGTAAAGTATGGAGTAATGTTTGGCAATTTTAAGCTCAAAACAGAAATATTGACAATATTAAGGAAACAAAAAGTTACAGTTCAGCTTTTCCTTTAGGTGAAACCATTGCTGGTTAACATTCTGTGGGTATCTCAGTAGTTCACAGGTCTTTTCCACCTTTAAGTGCTCATCTCTGTCACATGATTCGTAGTCCTTTGAGCTGAGTGTTTCCGGGTAATTTCCTTTTGTTTACTGCTGATTAATGAATGAGTTTGAGGCGAATCGTGCTGATTTTGCAAGAGGATTTGGCAGCATGTGCTATAAAGACAGCAAATGTCTCCTGCAATTACAGTTAAATTGTGATGGGCAAGTTTATCCGTTTTGGTTTAGTGTGTCAATACATGAATAAATCCCAGTGATTTCTATTTATCTATCGTTCTATCACTCTATCTCTCTGCCTTTCCCTTGATTACCCACTGCGCTCCGTCCTTGTCTTATCAAGTCAACAAAATCCCTCCATCCCTCAATCACGCCTCCTTCTTCGAGTGGACAGCTTTTATTTCAGTAATGGACAGATGGACGCCCCAAGAGATCTGCCTGCTACTTTCTCATCTTGCTAATTCTTTTCATGGGCTTCCTGAAAAGGAAAACAAAACATGGCACATTTATCCAGAGCTGTTGGGGGAGAGTGGCAGCGGTCCACACGTTTGACCGGACCGGATGCCAACACTGTAAATCTCTACATGCACTCTTCATTATACATGCGTGCGCTCACACACACACACAAACACACACACACACACACACACCCTCTGCCACTGTAGTATATATGTGGAGCTGCCTTAGGGGCTGATCCATGCCAATCAGGAGTCCCGTGGGAGGAGGGCTGCTCTCTTTGGTGGGGGGTTACCATCGGTGGAAAAACAAAATGCTCCACTGGCACTAAAGAGAGTGTCGACAGAAGGTGCGTATGTGCGTGAGAACCTTTATTTATCCAGAAAACGGTTCAGCGAGCGACGCGCTCTTTTTACAGCGGCGTCCTGCCTCTCGTTCATACACGCCGAACTACCTGAAAGATCCCAGCCACCATCCTTTCTCTTACACGCCTGCGTCTTTTATCCCAGTTTGAGTTTGTTTCCAAGCACCAAAAGTATTTCATCTTGTTGTTGCGGTCTGTTGGAAAGTATGGCAGCTTTCAAGGACAAATTCATTTCACTTCTCAAGAGAGGAGGATGGCAGGTGACTTCCTAAAAAAAAGCCATTTTGCATGGCTGTTGTTGTTGTTGTTATTCTGTTTTTTTTTTTTTTAGTCACTTCTTTGTTGTTTTCCT